CCCCAAAACCCCAAAACCCCAAAACCCCACAATATCTTCCAAAGATAGTAAATTTAATTAATTAGTATGGAAACTACCAATAGTAATAGAGATTTCAAGTTAAAATCTAAAGCTGCTGATGTAAGTTTAGTGAAATATAACTATTGCATCTTGATAATATTGCTCCTAAAGTATAACAAGATTTGATTCAAGGTCTTTCTCATTTTATTTCGTGAAGAGTCTCATTATATGTTATAGAAGATTTTAGCTAAACTAAAGAGTAAAGGACTCAAGGTAAATGCTCGCTAATAAATTTACATTTGATGAAAGCTCCAAAGGAGCTGGGACTCGTATACCAATATTTTGATCTTTCTTTGGCTTAATGCACTTATTCAACTTGATTTACACTTGACAAATTTTGTCTTATTCAAGACTTCAAATTCTATGAGCCTCATTATACATTCTATCAATCTCCTCACTATTTTCAGCTAAAACTTAATCAAAAGAGTAAATTATTGAAAGTGAAGAGAAGAAGGAAGCTTCATAGCCCAACTCCTAATAGCAAGACTTTCTTCGCTATGAGAAAGAAAGCATTTGGTATTTATAAGAGGTAAGTATTCTTATTAAAAACTTAATGCAGTAATTTTCACATAGTTTCCTATTCTCACCTATATAAATAAGAGTTATTTAAAAATTTCTTTAGCTCCTTACCTTCAAAGATTATGACAGCACTTAAAAGAAATAGGAAGAAGCATCCTAAGACTCCAAGAAGCCCTGTGCCTTCTCTGAAGCTCAAAGTGTTCTGCCCTCCTGTTGACGAAGAACTTGAACAAGAGAAGAAGAGATATTTGTCTATAGTACAGAAGGCTCAAAATGCTATGAGCAGCAGACAAGGAGAGTTCAGGTCCCCAAGAATCCTCAGAAATTTCCTGTCTACAAGAGAGTTCTTTAAAAGCCAAGGTAATGCAGATGTTATTCCTGATTTCATAATAAATACGCTGGTTTACTCTGTTCTTAATCAATACTTACATTGCTATAGATAATGATAGTGAAAGAAGCGAGGCTGCAAAGAGTGATGCACAATCTAGTTTGAGTGATATTAACCAGCTTTCTGATTCAAGAGTGCAAAAGAACTTTATTTTCAGAGGAAAGTTGAGCCCCTTTGAAGCAAGAAGAGGCACTTAATAACTGTAATTTTTCATAAAAAAATATTGAAAAATTGTAACTTTTACTATTGCCGATTTTATTCCTGGCTGAGAAATTAAAAAATACTCATAATATCAATCAACTCCAGATTCCCGTATTGTTCTTCTATAATTTTCTAGATCATTTCACTTTTAACTTATGCCTTAGTTTGGAACCATCTGACATAAATGGTGTTACTATATAGCAAGAATTTCCTTATCTTAGATTTTAGTTGACCGGATTCTTAAAATTTATATTTTCCAAAGAGACAATTCACTACCTCGCTCATTGAAATTTGAAACCAGCGCCAAAATCACGAGATCACGCATATCGGCTATACTTATTTTTAAGAGTAGAAATATTACAAACATCTCAGAAATCCCACCTCTTCTCACAAAACTTAAAATCTTAAGCCCCCAAATCAGTCTACCTCACTCCCCAATATCCTAAGACCTGTACCAATCTTACTACAATCCCCCATTCCCCCACTAACCTCCTCTCTTACCCTTAAAGACACCCTTTAACCTCTCTAAAACCCTTAAATCTCCCTCAACCCCCAAAAATTCCCTCAAAACACTAGTAAACCTCTTCTTCGCCATTTATCTAGTACCCTAAATTTCAACTGTACTGACAAACTTTGGGGTTTTGGGGTTTTGGGGTTTTGGGG